CCGACTCTAGCAAAAACATTGTTTGGTTGGAATCAAGTATCCACAACTTGTGAAAGATATCTAGACAAGAGTTTGCTGCTGAAGAAAAAAACAATGTTCCAACTTTGATGAGACTCTGTTTGGTTGGGATCAACTGTCCACAACTCGCGGGAGATTTTCAAAAGGTACCTTATTAATTCTCAAAGTTGGTTTGGTTTCACACATATACTGGTTCTCAAAGCCAGCTTCTATTCCCACCTAACCATGGGGGTTGTCACTGGTTATAAAACTCCACCCCCATCCTCTAAGAAATCTTTTGTTAAATCATTTAGCTACAAGCTTATGCAACAAAACTGCTATAGATACGAGAGATCCTTACTACTTTTGCTCTTGTGAGTTCATTTGGATTCGCGAGAAGGATCCTGTGGTTTTCCTTATTGGTGATCTACGGTTTTGGTTGTTTGTGTGGGTTAGTCTTAGTTTATGGTTCTGCGATTGTTCAAACAGATTAAAGCTATACAACCTTCTCCAACGTACGAGTCACGTACAACCTTGGCAGATTAAAGCTATAGTTATCTCGACTGCTTGTAGCTAGATACGCTCCTCGATTCAATCCCACAATGTGAAGATCAAGCCACTCTCTGGCATGAAACCCTTCAATGGGTTTGCGCCTATCAACTGTGGTCATGGCCCTTTCAAAGGCGACTAATCTGAAAAATCAAAGATAATCCTGTTTGGGGAATTTGAGCATTTGCCACATGTTTGATTGTACTTTGAGGATTTGCCCCTATTTTACTTGTCAATGATTATTTTCCAGTTTCTTGATGATTTGCCCCTTATGCACTGTTTAGAATTACACTGCAAAATTTATGTCCAAGCTAGCCCCAAGCCCAAATTAGGCAGCTCCCGTTTGACTGTTCCCGTTTATTGATCAATATCGAGGCTGCTTACCATGATTCACAACCGTGTCTCACATCGTGAATTTGATGCCTTGCTATGTTGCAGCTACTCGCTGCCGTGCCTCCTCCCTGTCGTCATTGTGTGCTGCTGCAGGTGAAAGAATTTGGCCGACGGTCTTTGGTTTGCCAGAACGGAATGCGGTGGTGACGAACATGGATGGCGTGGAGGAGATATGCGACGAGGCAGAGCACCTCAATTTGGATTGGGAGATATGAGAGATGGCCCCGTCATCATGAGGATGTGCGGTGGCCGCGTACGAAGTGGAGGCCTGTGAGTCATCGGGAAACGCGATGAAGTTGGTCGCGGACAATGGCAAGTAGACGGAGACGGCCTTGTCGTCGTGCAGCTACCGTCTGCCACCGTACCACTTTTGGGCGAGATGAGGACTCGGGGAACAAGAACGAGGTTGGGTCTCACACGGGCATTGTGGGCATATCACTGTGGGCTCATGTCGTCAGGGGCAAATCATCAAAAATCTAGAACAGGTGTAGCAAATAATCGATGACAAAAGAGGAGGGGCAAATCCTCAAAGGACCATCAAACTTGTGGCAAATCCTCAAATTCCCCATCCTGTTTAGGGCTCCTTTAATTTAAAGGAATTTTATAGGGGTTTTGGAGGATTAAAATTCTTAGAAATTTTTTCTACGTTGGTCCTTGGTTGCATTTCGTAGGAAATCTAACACCACTCAAACCTTTTTTATATATAATTCCTTTGATTTTGGACCCGATAAGGAACACGTGGCAGCTTCGAACGTTTTTTATGAAAAGTTTAGTAACGTAATGATGGCAACTTTAATTGTCAAGCATGAATTTTTTTTTCGGATGACAAGTTTTACTTTTATTTTCTGGTTTGCCTTTTCTTTTCGAATAACAACTTTTGTTGTAAAAAAGTTAAGACCAGAGTGCTTTGTGTCACACATGTGACACTTATCATTTGAATTGTTTTTCTGAGACATTAAACACTCTTTGCTAATTCTATAGTTTTAAATGGATATGCCACTTCTTTCTTTCTATTCATGTGTTCTGAGAATCCTACTCCCTCTTTCCATTTATATAAGGCCTAATGCATCTTTCGAGGCTAATTTTGATTAAATGTTAGAGTAATAATATATGACATGCAAGTTACACAAAGCATATTGTCAAATTCTTACTTGAAAAAAACTTCCAATAATATAATTTTTACATTATACATCTCATGTACTATTAATCTTATTAATAGTCAAATGCCGTCTTGAAAACACATTTTTTTCGAGAGCACGCGAAAGGCGTGCCTTAGCTTTATAGAAGAACAGAAACAATATATACAAGGTTTACATAGCCGCAAGCATTGCCCGAGGCGTGCCTACCATCTCCTCAAAACCCTCCTAGGCTACTACTCACAAAATTATAGTCTTGGAAAACGCATTAGAGCATCTCCAGCCGTTCGGCCCCCAGGGCGCTAAAAAAATGGTCTGCGAACCGGCGCTAGTTCGGCCCTGGGGGCGACCTAGCTCCCAGTCACGCCCCCAGGCGCCGCCCCCAGGACGCGGAAAATTCAAACTTGGTCGTTCCAGCTCACAAAAGACGCCATAAGTCCGGCGATCGCAAGTCACAGTTCGGCGTACAAAAAATAGAGCGGCAGAAGTTGGCGTGCGCAACGCATCACTCGGCGGGCTCTGCCCCAGGCGTCGGCCGAGTTGGCGTGCGCGGGCTTGGCGGTGTCGGAGCTGCTTCTGCGCTGGGCGGTGTCGGCGCGGCTTCGGTGGTGCTGGGCGTCGTGGAGGCGTCATCACGCGGGCTTGGCGACGGCGTCGGCGTGGGCATCGGCATCGGCGGCGCTGTCGAGGGAAGCTGGTTCAGGATGAGGTCGCGCTCCGCCAAGTACCACGCCTTGACCGCCTCGTCGGTGCTCTGGAGCATGTCCGCCCCGCCAAGCAGGAAAGCCAGGTCGGTGTTTCTCTTCTTCGCAGCGACGTTAGTCCGGAGCAGGTCGAGCTTGACGGCGCTGCTCGACATCAATGCCGACCACCGCGCATCGGTCTTCTCTTCACGAAGGACAGCCCGGGCCTGCGCGTCGGCGAGGCAGTGCTCGATGGACTCCTGCACTCGAGCGGTAGCCGCGTCGGCGTATTTCCCCTTCTTTGCACCTTTGTTGCCGTCCGGCCGCCCTTCCGATGCGCCAGGAGTCGGCGCGTCCGGCTTGTAGGTCTCCTTGGCCTTGTCGAGGGTGCGCCGGACTTCCGCCCACTTCTCGCACTTGTCAATGCGCTTGTAAATGTGGAGGTACTTGAATTCGGCGTCGCTGTTGCTTTGCCGGTACAGGGCGAACATGCACATCAACTGCGGGGAGGAACAAACAGTTGGTGGGTGTACACAGCGAAGAGAGGCGGGAGACTGGCGTGGCATACCTGATCATCAACGCTGGCGCCGCTCTCCGGACGAGCCGCGACCTCCTCGACGTCCCCATACCATTTTATTGCACGCCCCCTGAATACGTCCCCAGTGGTTCGCCATCGCCTTGGAGCCGCGCTGCATGTAGACGTCTTTGAAGTAGGGGTCGACGAGGTTGCACTCGTCGAACTCGGCCTTGATGCGGTCCTAGTATGTCTCGATGCTCTGGTTCGTGCCGTGTCGGGTCGAGGCAGACGACTTTCCATGCTTCGGCGAGGCATTCCTCCTCCTTGGACGCCCACTTGATGCGCGGCTCGCCTGACCTAGCCGCCCGCTTCTTCTTCTTGCACCCCTTTGCCGGAACAGGCGTCGGCTCCTCCTCCTCGTCGTCGTCGTCCTCCTCCTCCTGCTCCTGCTCCTCCTGCTCATCCTTGCCGTAGACGTAGCCGAGCTCGTTGTCCATGCTGCCGCTGAGATCCACCGTCTCGTCCTGGGTGACGAACCCGGGAGACGCGGCAGCCGCGGCCAAACCTGTTGCGATGATGTCGTCCATGTCAGCCTCGGTCTCGTCGGTGTCGCCGAGGTGCGAGAAGGGCAGCGGGCCACAGTGGAATGGAGGCGTCGGGGAGGAAGCGTAGGCGGGCGGCGAGTAGTTGTATGGAGGGTATTGCACGCCGGCGAAGGCGGGAGAGGGCGTGCGCTGGGCCGGGTGTCCATGGGGGAAGGTGACGTTTGGGTTGAACCCACCGTGCGCGTCCCTGTCGGCGTAGCCCGGCGAGGGTGATCCCCATGGCTGCGGAGAGCCCACGCCTTGCTGGCCCCAGGGCGCGTACTGGGCGTGGCTTCCGGGCGGATTCATCATCCCCGCGCGAGTCGCCTCGACCTCGGCTTGGTCCGCTGATGAGTCAGCCGCAGCCGCGCGCGCCGCATTGTCGCGGGCCTTCTTGGCGATGGCCCTGTTCCGCCGGTCGGCGATGACAGCCTCCCGTCGCTGAACTTCCGCCCTTCACTCGGCATTTGACATGCCCGGTGGCTTGGTCGGCGGTGCCCTCGGCTTCCTCTGCTTCGGCTGCGCGACGGAAGCGGTCGCGGTTGCCGCCGTGCGGGGGGCGACGTACTTCTTCGGTGGCATAGCGACCGGCTGGGAGGCGAGCGGGAGGGAGATTGGCGGGAGGAAGGAAGAGAATGGGAGGGAAGTGGGGGGAAAGCGAAAGAAACGGCGGGAAGAGGCGCTCGACTCGCTGATAGAGCGGACCCACGCGTCCTTTTCGCTTGTGCCGGCGCCCCAGGCGCCCCTAGGGCGCTGGGTTTGGCCTGGGTCCGCCGGCACCAGTTTCAGTCTGAGTCGACAAAAAACAAAATTCTAAGGACGCGACTGGGCCGGTTTTTCGGCGCCGGCGTGGTAAAAATACCTAGAAAGGGCCTGTTGGGGCGCGGCTGGAGATGCTCTATATTCGGCGACCTCCACACCCTTCGCCGCCGTGCCTCCCTCCCCGTTCCCCAGCCACGCGCCCGCGAGAATCATCCTCCTCCTCATTGCTCCCTCTCCCCAGCTTAGCCGCGCGCCCGCGCCCCCATCCCCTACCGGCCTGCTTGATGCCTTGAGATCACTTTTCCCCACCGGAAACCCTCGCCGCCGCCGCCGCCGCCATTAATTTCTCCGCGCAAGCTCCAATTTCAGGAGGCCCAGGATGAGGACGGCGTCGATGTGCACCGCATGTACTGTGCGGGGCACGCACACGTTCAAGATCGCCGGCTACAGCCTGCACAGGGGCCTCGGCGTCGGCAACTTCATCCCGTCTGCCAGCTTCGACATCGGCGGCTACCTCTGGCGCGTACTATACTTCCCCGACGGGGAGACGGAGATGGAGAATGGGGATCACGCGTCCGTTTTCCTCGACCTCGTTAGCAAGGCCACCGAGGTGAGGGCGTTATTCGAGGTCAGGTTGGTCGACCAGACTAACAAGCTGCCACCTTCGGTGGTGCTCTCCCAGAAGACGCCGATAATGTTCAACAACAACGAGCATAGGAACTCTATGGGCGACGACTTCTTGCAACCATTGGCGTACCTGCTGGACGACAGCCTTGTGCTTGAGTGTGATGTCACAGTTCTGAAGGAATTCAAGGTGACCCTGACTGTGACCACCTTTGACATCCAAGTGCCCCCCTCAGACTTGGGGGAGCATCTCAGAGAATTTCTAGAGAATGGGGAGGGGGCAGATGTCGTTTTTGAGGTTGAGGGGGAGGTTTTTCCTGCGCATAAGAGTGTGGTTGCAGGGCGCTCGCCGGTCTTCAGAGCGCAGCTCTTTGGACCGATGAGCGACAGGGCAAAGCAACGCATAACAGTAGAAGATATGCAGCCTGCTGTTTTCAAGGCGTTGCTTCACTTCATTTACACAGATTCATTGCCTTCGATGGAAGATCTTGATGGAGATGAGGGCAAAGAAATGGTTAAGCACTTGCTCGTGGCTGCGGATAGGTATGCGATGGAAAGGATGAAGGTTATGTGTGAGAGCATCCTTTGCAATAGTCTTGATGTTGAGAGTGTCACTGCTACATTGGCTCTAGCTGACCAGCATCACTGCAGCAACCTCAGAGATGCTTGCCTTGAGTTTATCACTTCACCGGATAGAATGGATGATGTCATGGCAACCCAAGGGTATGCTCACCTCAAAAGATCCTGCCCTTCTATTGTCATAGATGTCTTCGAGAGGGCAAAAAGGTCCCGCAAAATTTAGTATGTTCATCCTTGTTTAGCTTATGAATAGTTGAATAGGTTGTTTAGTTGAGCATAACCTCGTAAGATGAAGTTGGCTTCTTAGTTATATTAGTTTCCAGTGATCTTTTGGAGAAGGGTAGGCCTTTGTAAAATGCATGTGATGGAGGCTCCTCTTGCTATATCTTGTGTGTGATGACGATCGACGATTCATCTTATTTATGAATTTATGCCAGCTTGCTAGTGTTCTCGAAAATGCCGTGACCGTCTGGCTAAACAATTAGGTTACTGTTAAAACTTCCCTTTTATCTGCTTCCTTAATTTCTCAATGCTGTTTGTTTGCCATTCTCATTATTGGAAAGAGATGGTATGGCCAAGTCCATGGCGAGCTATGAAGAAACATTAGCAAACAGCAACATTATGTTAGCAAGTTATTGAGCAGCACAATTAATGCAGTATTTTGAGATTGCATTGTGCTAACTATGTTTAACTTTGGATTGGCACACCACATCTTTTACACTATGAGTTATTTTTGGAGGCAGAGGCATTTGGATTCACTGTAGTCTGTAGAGAAAACCCCAATGTTTTAATCCAACTATACAGTTTAGCTCCAAATACCAATTGATAAAGTATTGACCTCGTAACTACACATTAAATTTTACTTGGTGATAAGCAAAGCTGAAATGATTATTTTACTTTCCTTAATTGACCAAGGGATGCTGGTATAGTGGGATTGGTAATCATGAATGTCATTGACCACTTTATTGTTACGAGTAAGATGAGCTGTTGTGCAAAATACCAACATATGATGGTAAACAAAATTATTCCTAGTGTCTAGTGTTTGTGAATCTGAATCTGGGCAGTCAGATCATGGAGACCTAGTGATTTATCTTATGGCATGATGTAGAGATCTCTGCTAAATTTGTTCCAACTCCAAAGGTTCGCAAGAACTGAAGTAGGCTGCACTTTTTCTTTATGTAGCAAAGCAATGCTCCTCATTCTCGTTCGAAACCTTAACCTCAAAGTCAAACATTAGATAAAATGTACAAGTGATTATGATACATAACTACATATGTTATTAGTTATGTGGTCACTTGTCACATTGCATAAAGTTCTCTATCCATCCTACATGTGCGAATTGGCCTCTTACTCGGGTCAAGCAGGAAAATGTTGGAAGATGATGTGCTTCACTTTACACCATAGTCATCCCCATAAAGGTTTTCTTTTTATACTGCTGCGACTGTCTGTTCACTCTGAATACAATATTTACTGTTGTGATTTGTGAAATTCATTCCATGTGCATTTTCTCTCATAACATTTGGTAACTAGCCAGTTCTACATCAATCAAAGTGCATCCATTGCCAGTACTACATTTGCAAATAACAACATTATGATAATCGGTAGTACAACAAAGATAACATATAGCAGCTAGCAGCTAGCATTAAGTTTTGAGTTTAAGTTCCTTTATGCCAGGAGAAGATGTTTTTTTCAACATAGTATGGTTTCTTGTTTTTTATTCCCAATTTATACTTGGCGGTCTGATATCCCCAAGAGAAAGCTTTTGTTTCTGATTATTCAGTTTTGACAGAATCTGAGCTTCTGGAGCATCCAAAGCGTAGCCTAGACAGTGTAAGTAATAATGCTTATAGCTAACTATCACTTGTGCATACCTGTATTCGTAATTGTAGGATCTTGTCATATTTTGGCAGATCTGCTGGAGAACTAGGTTTTGCAGAATGTTTAATTGACCCCAAGGAGTTAACAATCAACAATCATCAAAGTTATTTTCGTTGAATGACAGCCTCACAAAATCTGTACACGCGTGATTCTGTTTGCAGCCTTTTTTTTCTGTAACACGCGTGAGTCGTCATAAGGTGTGTAAGAAAAGTCAGATCAGGTTAATGTTGAAAGGGCAATATATTTCAAAAGTTAAAACTGGCAATACAAGATGGTAATGATATTAAATGAAAAACAAATGCCAAAGCAGTTGGTATGTCCTGATAATTTGCTTTATTCATTTTGCTTCGCAATTTTTTATAGATGATCTTCTCATATAAATCATAGATTCTCCAAGTATATCACCTTGATTACTCAACGTGACACCCTTTAAATCTTGCACAATGTACACTTGTTAGACGATGCTCTTCAGCACGGTCGAAGGTGTATTTTACTGG